GCCCTCTACAGCTAAGATGGTGAACAACAGCTTGACCTGGAGCTGGACTGCTGTGAAGCTGCAGTGGGCTGCCGTGAGCTACTGGGAGTGGCTGGCAGCCAGCGTGAGCAGCCATCCAACGGCCAGCGAGTGACTGCCTCACCTGAGAAGAATGCAATGATCACAATACCAAAATGGGCCAGTGAAGCGACATTCTCCACAACTAGACTGAAGAACAAAAGGAGAGCAACTTGTCTGTTCCCCTTCCCTGATTTCCCAGCGCTGTTCCCCTCCCCCAATTCCCCAATAAAATCTTTAAAAAGAAAACTAGAGTTTCAGAGGCTATTGTAATCAAAGGCCATGTAGATACAACAAATAAATGGATCAGAAATGGAGGACTAATGGTATTATGGTTATGTTAGAGAACGTTCTAGTTCTTAGGAAAAAACAGAATGAAGCATTTAAGGATAAGTATCATGATGGAGACAGAAGTCTTCAGTGTAGGATGATGAGCTAGTCAATTCTTTAGGTTTCTGTGTTTTTTATAATGAGCCATGCAGTTTTAATGAAAAATGGTACTTATCTCATGAGGTTGCTGAGAATTAAATGATAATGTACATAAATGAATGGTTATCGACTCTGGGAGTCCAGGTTCCATCTCAGACCAATTATTGGGTTGTCAGAAAAGTCATGATGTATTTTCTCTGTTTTTTGTTGCAAAAATGCGTCATGACTTTTCCGACAACTCAATAAATCAGAAACCTAAGGTGGGGCCAGGGCATCAGGATTTTTCCTCAAGTCCCCAGGTGGGTTCTAAGGGGCATCCAGGGTTAACAGCCAAAGTCAAGTGCCTGGTTTAGTACCCAGTGTTCATGTCTAAGATCTTCCACAACATACAAGGAGATTCACTTCTCTATAGGTCATATAGATTTTCTATTGTAACAATGGTAAAGTCTCTTTTAAAACTGATTTTTGCTCCAGCTTGAGTTTTCAGTTGCAGGCCCTATCAATTGACTAGCCAATTCAGTAGGAAAGAATTTCATTCTTTTAACCCCCACCGCCATCACTCCACAGAGAGATTCACAATTCCTTCCCCTTCCATTCCCCCAAATAGACATATACTCAAATTGTTACATCAATAGTCATCATTTACAGTACAGCTGAGTCATGTGGTTCAGTCCATGAATCTTTTCATCTTTCAGAACAAGTTTTTTCTTAGAGTTAATTGCCTTGTTTATTCATATGCTAAATTTCTTATGTAATTATTTCTAATTCAATCTCAATGTCTCTTCTTATTGTGTAAATGTTTTACAAATTTCATTTTCTTGAAGAAATCTCCAGCAAGCTTCTGGGCTATTTTAGTCTGAAATGGCTGCTTTCTAGCCTGGCTGTACCACCCCCACCCCACTCCGAGGGATTCCCTTCCATTCTCTTTTTTGAGTTGGTTCCTGTTTCATCAGTTCCAACTCTTTCACCTTCTGGTTTATTTCCCTGTATTGGGGGGTATATCTTCCACCACAATAAAGGGTAGATGGGAGGTGCATTTTTCGAAAAATTGCGGGTTGTTAATCTAACAATTGTTTTGGTTGAGTATAGAATTCTAAGTTAAAGTAACTTTGCTTCAGCTTTGTCTTCTTTCTTTTTCATTTTATTTTTTTTTAAGATTTTTATTGGGGAATTAGGGGATGGGAACAGCGCTGGGGAATTGTGGAAGGGGAACAGACAAGTTGCTGTCCTTTTGTTCTTCAGTCTAGTTGTGGAGGACGTTGCTTCACNCAGACAAGTTGCTGTCGTTTTGTTCTTCAGTCTAGTTGTGGAGGACGTTGCTTCACTGGCCCATGTTGGTATTATCATTGTGCTCTTCCCGGGCGAGGCAGATCAGTCGCCGGCCTCTGGACGGCCGCTCACGGCGGCTCTTGGCAGCTCACACCGGCTGCTGGTCATTCACGCTGGCTGCCAGCCACACGTGGTAGCTTATGGCAGCCCACCGCAGCTGGGGCTGCAGCCTACGCCATTGCCGGTGACTCATGGCAGTCCAACTCCAGGTCGAGCTGTTGTTCACCATCTGAGCTGCAGAGGGCAGTGTCACCGGCCCCATGTGGGATCCGAACTGGGGCTCTGCTGCTCAGAGCTGGCGTCCCAAGTCAGCTCTTAACCAACGCACCACTCGGCCGGCCCTAGAGCATGTGCTCTTAATAACAAGGCTGCTGGTTTGACTCCCACATGGGATGGTGGCTACGCCCACCCGCAACTAAGATTGTAACGCAGCACCTTGAGCTTAGAGGACATGAGCTGCCGACGGGCAGCCAGATGGTGACTGGCGCCCTCCACAATGAAGACTTAAGAACAAGAACTTGGCTGGTCCCCTTCCCCAATTCCCCAATTAAAAAAATAATAATAAAATTAAAATAAAAAAAAAAAAGAAGAAAAGGTGGCTAGTATTTGAATAAGGGAAATATTAAGGATGTGAGGTTAGTTTCATTCCCTATCTTACTACTATCTTACTACAACAGGCAGTTCCACCCTCCTTTATTCTTGTAGAAATTGAGGCCTACCAAGAACAGTCTTGACAAAGCTAGGGACAGTGACAGTGAAAAGAACAGAGGGCTGCTCCACGAGCAGAATGAACACAACGTGGTGGCACCTGAACACAGTGTGTGTATTCTAGTGAAGAGAAAAGGCAGAAAATGAATTAAGCTATATGCCCCCATAGAGAGCATGTAAATAGGAAAGGAAGAATTGGTTACTTCATGCTTCAATGTGATCCAATACAGGGGTGTGAAAAGGGACCTGGATGGACTGTAAGGAATCACTCCAAATTCTTCACCTACAAAGTAACATAAGAGGCAGTCTAGATGTGTGGGAAAGCTGGCGGGGGAGGTAGGAGCCTAGAGCCCTATGAGGAGGATGTGAGGAGAAAACCACCTTCCCCCCAAATACATGCTCCATGCTGGCACAAATTAGTGAGTACATGCAACCTATTGGTAGACAGACACATACCAGTTTTTTTCCAAAACTCCACAGGTACATATCCTGTTGCTGGTCTACTGTTGAATTCCCGCTGAGAATCTACAAAAAAAGGACGAGTAGCATAAGGTGAGAAGCTACCTGCAATCAGCATGAAAAATTTATCAGACCTGTCATTCACCTCTTAGGAAGACTCAAACATATATGTTCATTTAGTGCAAAAAAACCTCTAAGGGATAAAAATCACATTATAAAACAGTACATTTAATTTTTACTTTTTTTTTTAAAGATTTTTATTGGGGAATTGGGGGGATGGGAACAGTGCTGGGGAATTGGGGGAAGGGGAACAGACAAGTTGCTGTCCTTTTGTTCTTCAGTCTAGTTGTGGAGGACGTTGCTTCACTGGCCCAAGTTGGCACCATCATTGCGCTCTTCCCGGGCGAGGCAGATCAGTTGCCTGCTTCTGGACGGCCGCTCACGGCAGCTGCTGGCCGCTCACGCTGGCTGCTGGCTACACACGGTAGCTTATGGCAGCCCACTGCAGCAGGGGCTGCAGCCTATGCCATCGCCGGCGACTCACGGCAGCCCAGCTCCAGGTTGAGCTGTTGTTCAGCATCTTAGCTGTAGAGGGCAGTGTCACTGGTCCTCATATGTGGGATCTGAACCGGGGCCCTCTGGTGTCCCAAGCCAGGTCTTAACCAACGTGCCACTTGGCTGGCCCTAAGATAAAATATTTTTAAAGAAATAGTTTCATTGCTTTAAAAAGTGTGAAAACTAATTAAGGTAATTTGGGTTTTTAAAAAAATGAGTCAGTGCCAGCAGACTCCTTCATTTCCTAATGCTTTGTTGAGCCCAATCTGAAAAGTAGATTTTATGTTCTGAATACTCACCAACCCACAATGCAAAGAGAAATCGGGGCAACAGCCAGTGTGGCAGGGAGGCCGGCCTGGCATGAAACATTCACCAGAGGAGCTTTATAAAATGGTCAGTCCTCATGAGAATGCTGCCAACTGGTCTTGGGTAGTGAGGGAAACTCCCCCGTTTCAAGAGCTGTCGCACAGAGAACCTACTTCTACATCCTCCTGAAGCTATGAGGGGATGAGTTCTTTATTAATCCTGTAAAATATATATGGAACTTACCAATTTAAAGTGTATAACTAGTACATTCACAATGTTGTACATCCACCGTCACCATCTAGGTCCAGTACTTTATCATCACCCTGAAAGGGAACCCCATACATTGAACATTTTGTTAGTATTACTACTTTCTGTGACACGGGGCTCTCTAAGGAATGTCACCGTCACTGCCAATAATAAGAAAGCTGAAGGGCTCTCTTCACCACGGTGAGGTTCCTGAGTCATGTGGCCATCTGCAAACACCTAGCAACTCAAGTATGAGATTTGGAGCACAAGAGGCAAAGCAAAACAAGCTAAGGAGAAGGTAGTGGGTCAAGTTTCACTGAGTCTTAAATAAGGAAAAGGGATGTGAGTGTGCAGATAAGCCCTTACTGATGTTAAATGACAAAAGAAACACTTGTTTACTTGTGGAGATGTGGGGAAGTCCTTGATCAAGCATCAATAAGCCCTTGGTCATATCCTGTGTGGATCTGCCCAGTCCTCAGTATTTATTCTGACAGATGTAAACGGTGAGATGCACCTGACCCTAGACTTCTCAGCTTATTCAGGAAATGCCTGGGCGCTGAGAAATTTTCATACTGTCAGAAGTCAGCATCACTGTTTTTATATCTCTAACCCAGAAGGAGACAGGAGTCAGGATTTTCAGCTGGTTCACTAAGAAAACTAGAGTTTTTTGGGCCGGCCAAGTGGCACGTTGGTTAAGAGCTGGCTTGGGACGCCAGCTCTGAGCAGCAGGGTCCCGGTTCGGATCCCATATTAGGGCCAGTGACGCTGCGCCCTCTACAGCTAAGATGGTGAACAACAGCTTGACCTGGAGCTGGACTGCTGTGAAGCTGCAGTGGGCTGCCGTGAGCTACTGGGAGTGGCTGGCAGCCAGCGTGAGCAGCCATCCAACGGCCAGCGAGTGACTGCCTCACCTGAGAAGAATGCAATGATCACAATACCAAAATGGGCCAGTGAAGCGACATTCTCCACAACTAGACTGAAGAACAAAAGGAGAGCAACTTGTCTGTTCCCCTTCCCTGATTTCCCAGCGCTGTTCCCCTCCCCCAATTCCCCAATAAAATCTTTAAAAAGAAAACTAGAGTTTCAGAGGCTATTGTAATCAAAGGCCATGTAGATACAACAAATAAATGGATCAGAAATGGAGGACTAATGGTATTATGGTTATGTTAGAGAACGTTCTAGTTCTTAGGAAAAAACAGAATGAAGCATTTAAGGATAAGTATCATGATGGAGACAGAAGTCTTCAGTGTAGGATGATGAGCTAGTCAATTCTTTAGGTTTCTGTGTTTTTTATAATGAGCCATGCAGTTTTAATGAAAAATGGTACTTATCTCATGAGGTTGCTGAGAATTAAATGATAATGTACATAAATGAATGGTTATCGACTCTGGGAGTCCAGGTTCCATCTCAGACCAATTATTGGGTTGTCAGAAAAGTCATGATGTATTTTCTCTGTTTTTTGTTGCAAAAATGCGTCATGACTTTTCCGACAAC